GAGGCCTCCACTCAGACTGGTTCCCTGGGTACGCTGCGCTGGCGCTACGCTCACTTCTCAATGGAGCCTTTCCCTCAGGCTGGCTTTCTAGGTATGCTGCAATGGCGCTACACTGATTGTACAATGGCGGCCTCCACTCGGACTGGTTCCCTTGGTACGCTGCGCTGGCGCTACATTGACATCTCAATGGAGACCTTCACTCAACCTGGCTTCCTTGTTATGCTGCGCTGGCGCTATGTACAGTGACTGTACAATGGCGGCGCCCTCTTACTCTGACTGGTTCCCTGGGTACGCTGCACAATGCAGTATCTGCACAGCATACCAAAGGCAACAGACTGCTGGTGGACCTTTAATTCTTCAACAAGCAACATACATCACAGACAATACAGTACCTCTTGTTCAGGATGTCGCTCCAAACACTGTATGAACTGACGTAAATTCAACAACACTGCGCGACGTAGTCTCTCGTACAGACCCTGAAGCAAATATATCCAAGAAAGCCCACGCAAGTCTAGAAAATGTGGCAAGTCTAGATTTCCACAGCTTCAGGGAAGAAAGTCTCAGGGCTCCTTTTCATTATATATTTCTTTTTTTACTATGAACTTTTTTTTTCAGTAAAATATGTTCATTTCAGAGACTAGTTGTTAGTCTATGCGCGACGGTATGGTTCGGTGTAGATGCGATGTTTGTTTCCATGAATTTGCTCTGTACTCAGCATGCATGTGCATATTTGGACCGATATAATCAGCATACGCTGCGTATTTGTCAAGTCCCATCTTTTCTGTTGCCAGACACATAAATTGTAAACGTTAATTGATGCTGCGTTGCCACTTTGGCTGGCTCCTATCTCAAAGTGTTTGACTGTTTTACACTGTTTGACAAGACAAGTCAGATAGGATACGATGTACTGCGCTTTTCCTGAGAACACCAGGGTCATATCTTGCAACGTTAAAGAACGTTGCAATCGTAAGTTATGGGGCATGACCGAAAGCAATGTTCCGGATATACCACGGCGGACTGTGGTCGACTTTTGTCGACAGTGGTTGATAGTACGAGCAACCATCCACGCCGTTGGAGTGCGGTAAGTCAATGATGGTCCATATCCCAGACTTCCAAAAGTTCGAGCCTCAGATCGCTTTGTGTAGGTGTGTAGAGGCCACACGACAAATGCTTCCTCTGTATTGAGGTCGTGAAGAGAGGTCGTGAGACCTTATTGGACGACGGACAAATTGTTCTCGCAACCAAGAGAATCCCCACGGGAATATAAACGTGTTTACATTATTAAACATCCAATGTGATCATACCTGCACCGTATAGTCTGTCATATAGAGGGACTGAGTTAGTATGGTTTTACGCCACCTTTTAGCAATATTCCAGCAATATCACGGCGGGGGACACCAGAAATGGGCTTAACACATTGTGCCCATGTGGGCTGTCATACAGTTCCTGAAACATTAATTTCCCTACTGCCCCATCTACAGTCCATAAAGCAAGTCTAGATTAGAATCTGGTCGGCTAGGTCTGGATTAAACTTGTTTGTTTTTGAAAATATTCAAGACTAATTAGTCTAATTGTGCCCATGTGGGCCGCTTGAAACACATATATATTAAGTCTAGAATTATGGACATAATTTAGAAACAGCCCATTTTTTTTATTTTTGGACATAATTTAGAAACAGTTTTCTTTGTGTTAAAAGTCTTCATTTTGAGTCTACATGTTATTCTCTGTCCCGTACACAGAGGGGCATATTCAGTTTAATCATGCGCATCACATATGGCTACCTTCACAGAGTCCCATTATCCATGTGTGCAATATAATCTGTTAAACGACATGGCATACAATCAGTATTCATATGTGAGCGATACACTCTGACTGCAGCAAGTCCCGCGTCCCGAGGCGAGAGAGGGAGGGTAGATCTAAGATATACACAAACATACGTTCTGTAAACAATGCCACGTGCGAGTGGTGCAATCTTGCAGGCATTCACAAGCTCACACGGGGGTCTCCGACCGACGTCAGTCAAGGTTCGCGAGAACATGATAAGATTTTAATCTGCTAACGAATCCAAATTAACTGCAAGATGACGTTGACTTTAATGATCTGGCACATGCGCTTTAGATAAACTGACTTTCACATACACATGCGTCTCGTGGAATGAATATAAGAACGTGCTCATGCCAAGCACAATCCGAAACGTCGAAGGTGAACCGGTTGTCTTCTGGACCCCACGACCAACGCTGAATATATAGAATGATGACAGATACAAACAGTTCCTTTCAATTGAAAAGGAGCCCCATTGAGAAGGGAGGGTCCCGAACCTGAGGAAATCTAGACTTGCTGCTACATTTACCATTGCAGAAAGGGGTAGGGATGTTTATATATCTTTAGCCTTGCTCCAAGGCTGTACTGAATGCTGAGGCCATGGATGTATAGTAATTCTATCCCGCGAAGAGGCAAGTCTAGATGAGCGGACATTACACTCTAAGGACCCTAGTCTGCTGTTTATTATTTTTTAGAAATTATCATTTAAACTATTATTATTTTGTACCTTAGAGGCTTGTGCAAGTCCAGAAAAAGGGGAACTATCCCCCGCGGTAGAGGGACTGTGAGACAGACTACCTGACCCCGAGTTTCTGTTCATAATGAGAACATATCTACATCCCGTGGTCTGGAGTCTACTTCCTCTGTTCCGCTGGGACGCGACATGGTCAGTGGTCTAGCGACGAGGAAAGAACGCGGACTTAGATGACCAGGTGAGCACGGACATACCTTGACATACCTGGAAGGTTGTACTTCTGTAATTACAGGTAACAGCATAACTGTAAAACACTACAGTTTCCGTGTCACGTAATACAGGACAGATACGAATATATTTTGATACCATACGTAACGGTAATATACCAAATAAAACTACACTTAACCGCAATATTCCCAGTGACAATATTTCAAATGGCAATAATGGCAATGACAATACTTTTAATGGCAATGACTATACCCTAGAGTGACACTAAACGTAATACTATTAGTGACCTAACACGTTACGGCAATATTCTATATGGGAATACTTTAAATGTCAATAATGGCAATGACAATACCCCAGAAAGACACATATTATAAGTGGCAATACTTTAAATGACAATAATGGTAATGACAATACTTTAAATGACAATAATGGTAATGACAATACTTTAAATGACAATAATGGTAATGACAATACTTTAAATGACAATGATAGCAATGACAATACTTTAAATGACAATAATGGCAACGACAATACCCCAGAATGACACTGCACGTAACGACTGTACTCTAAGTGATACCACGCGTCCTGGCAATACAATACGCCGATACACCCAATGACAACACTCGTTAATCCTACATGCTGGTATACTTTGCCTGAATGATACACTCGATTCCAGTGCCCTTTGATGTTCTACACACAATGTCAATATTCTAAATGACACTACATGAAATGGCACACAGATACAACGAGTGATGTCACCACGCGTTCATACTAAACACAGTGGCAACACAACAGGGTTTAATAGTACATGAAAATACTCTTAAATGCTACATGCAGTGACAATACCCTTTAACACTAGACAGTCCAGCAACACGCTTTAATACGAGACGAAATGGCATCAAGCTGTAAAAATGTGATGCACTTTAATACCATATGGATATATTTTGATACCATATGTAGGAATATACTCTCTACTTCAACGAGCAGAGGGGGCGGTGGGGTAGCCTAGTGGTTAAAGTGTTGGCTCGTCACGCCGAAGACCCGGGTTCGATTCCCCACATGGGCACAATGTGTGAAGCCCATTTCTGGTGTCCCCCGCCGTTATATTGCTGGAATATTGCTAAAAGCGGCGTAAAACTAAACTCAGTCAGTCATTCAGTCAACGAGCAGAGACAATATGCTTCAATAGTACACGCAGTATTTTGAAGGATGTTGTATGACATGGCAATACCCTTAAATGCTATATGTAGTTAAAACACTTAAATACTATAATGCAGTTGAAATCCGTTTGGTGACTACCCGGAATGGCAGTACACTTACCACAGCGCCAGAGACTATACAGTTTAATTGTACACACAAAGACACTTCTCCAAACGGCAGAAATGCGCCACAACAATGCGTTCTGCGAACGAATACAGAAATGTACACAGTTGATCTGAGTTTTCCTGAAACCGGTTTTATAAGAGCTTGAATAACCCTTCTGGAAAACCTGTGTAGTTTACAAACCACCAGGAATAGACACATACACAGACACATACACAGACACATACATGTATGTATACACATATAAAGACACACACACGCCCGCACACACGCCCCACACAACAGAGAGGGGAGACACGCTCACAGACACGCTCACAAAACATACCTTCGCCACGTACACCCATCACACACACACACATACATACATTTACCACATCTAAACACAACACACGCACACAAACAGGAATACACACACATTCAACAAAAACATACACATTCACGCCAATCACAAACATAACACACACACACACACACACAGCACTACACACGTGTATACGTTGGAATAACGAGTAGATACGTGCATAGGGATTAATTCGGTGTAGTAGCCTTGATTGAAATCATTGTGAAATCAACCTTCTGTGATGGAGACTCGGGTTTAGCTGTCGACATCAACACAATGCTTTCAGATGCAATACGGGGATCTGAATGCTATATCAGCGATACTCTGTATCCACAACTGTGTAGAAACGACCCAGATTACTCCCGTCCAATACTTATCCCTTTGTTGTATGTAATCAAGAAGTAGGCACATCGGCCAATGTGTAGCATATTCAATATAAAGAACACATTCTCCCGTCATTCAATATCTCAGAGACCAGGCAATATCGTGTCTTAGCTTCCCCGAGGTTTAAATGGATCGCAGGTTGTGGTTTAATACTGCTAATCAATAACGAGCTCTCAGGCTTGGGTTTCAATGAATAAGTGTTAAGCTTACCATTCCGTCCGAGCTCGTTGAAACACTGTCTCGCGCCGTATCCGAACCACCCAGCAGCATCACCAACACAGTCAGTGTCCACGCCGTCACCTCGGCGTTCATGACGAGCGACTACACCACCCGACCGTCGATGTCGTCGTCACCAGCTGCCTCTACCACCACACCCGGCAGCCAGCACACACAGACACCTTGATGTCAGTACGGGTAGCAACTCACCCCGCTCTTACCGGCTCTCTTTCAGTTTAGCACCCACTTCCAAGGTTAGCGGGAACTTACAGCACCCTTCCACCAGCCGTTATCCGTCCTGTCAGGGAATACAGACACGTATAGCACACGAGAGCCTGACGTCCTAATCAGCTGGCACCGTTGCTTCTGTGGGAATGGGCGGCGGTTGTACGGGAGTCAGAACCACTCTCTCATCTACCGTCTTGAATCCAACTTCGCCTCTCGACCGCCAGCCACTGTTAAAAGCGAGACCTGCTTGCGCTTGCTAAATAATTCATATACGGGGAATGTAATTTCTGTGTGGCCCAGCACACAAGAAATAAGTAATTGCAGTTTCGGGATAGATAGAGCGAATGTTTTCCTGTAGGCGAGCTGTGTAGCTCTCTAACTGCCCAGTGCTCGCCGCGCGAAGAGGAAGAACTCAACACTGCTTGTCGTCTGCTCCTGTGGTAGTGCAACCTTCCTCTTCCTCGTGGAAAGGACTATATGAAGCCGTATCTCTCACTCCGAAAGTACGTCCTTCACCACGCTCAGTCCGCTGTGCACTGCCATACAGCTCAAAGACACATCCAAGCTGAAAACTATATAATAAATAAGTCATCACGGGCAACGATTGACATGTGCCTTTTATGGAAGTGCTATTTTTAGTGGCGGCGGGAAAGCCCCCTTAAAGTAGGTCAAAGCATGTTATGACGTCACGTCATTTGCATTGTTGTAAGCTGAACCGGCAGTATTGTCGCCTTATTCACCATGATTCATTTACCTACATTTTGTTAAGTTTGCTGTACGGAGTGACCTCCCTGTTAGCGACTCTCTTGTGTGAAGCTCGCCATACGTCTTGTGATTTTCACATCACAGCTTTCATCTTACAATTTCCGTGCAGCAGGGGCGGTGGGGTAGCCTAGTGGTTAAAGTGTTGTCTGGTCACGCCGAAGGCCCGGACTCGATTCCCTACATGGGTACAATGTGTGAAGCCCATTTCTGGTGTCCCCCGCCATGATATTGCTAGGATATTCAAGCGGCGTAAAACTAAACTCACTCATTTACGTATAGCATTACAACCGATTATCAGACAATACGTATTATACCACATTATCTCGGATAATCATTACCTTTTTAACATATACAGTGATTCCTTCATTCAGATAAAGGTGGACCGCTTTCGGGACACTATATAAAGACACGCTGCTTTGTAGTGTCACAATTATATTCTAATTTAAATTAACAAAAATGGTGTCGATGTTCCGAATTATTTCAAAGGCACATTTTTCAAATGGATGATAAAATGACATATGTACATACGAATGTCTGTTTGTACCATTACACATTCTGTTTCTGATATTCTTATTTATTGTCGCTAAGGCATTTAACGCGAATTTTGGTGACGTCATTCTGTTTGTTATTTTACGCCGCAGTTAGCAAATTTCCGCAACGTAATGGAGGTCACGCTGCTGTTGCTAATTCTGCCATTACAAAACTTGGATACATTGTTGCTAGATATGGGAGTGAGTGAGGTTAGTTTTACGCCGTATTCAGCAATATTCCAGCTATACGGCGCCGGTCTGTAAATCATCGAGTCTGGACCAGACAATCCAGTGATCAACAGGATAAGCATCGATCTACGCAATTGGGAACCGATGAAATGTGTCAACCAAGTCAGCGAGCCTGACCACCCGAAACCGTTAGTCGCCTCTTACGACAAGCATGGGTTACTGAAGATCAATTCTAACCCGGACCTTCACGGCTACCTAGGTATGGGGTGTATATATACCAAGTTAGATATCATGAATATTTTTGGGGATACCTTTTTGGTAGTGAGGACTGAGCGCACGATTTCATAACGTACTGATCTTTAAAATATTTATGATTCCGTAACCCTTAGCAGTTCAGTATTGGTAAAATAAGTCGTGTTAAATGAACATGACTTATATGTATAATGTAATGTCATATCATTGTGCAAGAGCTGTTATATGTACAGTGAGTGAGTTTGGTTTTACGCCGCTAGCACACCAATTCCACCAATATCATGGCGTGGGACACCAAAAATGGGCTTAACACATTGTGCCCATGTGGGGAATCGAACCCGGCTTTTCGGCGTGGCGAGCGAACGCCTTACCACAAGGCTACCCCACCACTCCAGTTGTTACACGTGCAAAGCAAGGATAAATGGTGTACACACGCTTACAAAACCCACCTATCCTCTTTTAAACATATTGCACATGCAAGCGAATAATGATGTACACATACACTCATATCTACACACGCACACGCGCGCCCGCATGCAAACACACACACACAAACTGGGTTCCATTTCCTAAAACAATGGTAGTAGATATCGCACAAGTTCTTGAAGTTCGTGACTGCTAATAGTCGTATAGCGAGGCGATGGCAGAACCATAGGTTTCACTTAACTGAAGGACGCACCGTGACGCATTCGTCAACAGGATATTTATTATTAAATATATAATGATGTTTGAAATATTTCATGTTGGGAAACCCAGGACGTTTAGCAGGAATTAGTATTAAAGTACTACCATCAAAAGTTTAGACTCACTAGTGTAAATATAGCCACATACTTCAGTCAACTGTTCTAAACTAGATTTTGTAAAATATTTCATCCTGTTTAAAGGTACTGTTTACACATGAACTGATGTATTGTAAAACATATTCGTAACGTTGGAAAGATTATTCTCATGAGTACAATAAATGATGAAAGTCAGAGAAAATTGGTGAATTCTTAACAAAACTTTACACCAAAACGCAGCTGTTCACATGCATGATATTTACACATGCTTTTCACCAATTTGATGCATAATCCTCGTGCAGTTAATCTGCATATGGTTTGCAGTTGGTTCCCCCAAGTTATTGGAGAAATTCATCTTCGATGTAATATAGTGAGTGCTTTAAGCGAGTCGAAACTTTTGATGGCTAGTATATAAATAGGAAATAATTAAATTCGCGGAATTCCACCATCGTATGAAATCACGAGTGAGTGAGTGAGTATGATTCAACGATGCTTTAAACAATATTCCAGCAATCACGACTGCTGGCACCATACATGGACTTCAGGTATCGAACCTAGCACCGACAGATCAGCCAACCGCCTCAGCACCTAGGGTGCTTATACATGTTCCTGAAACTCTGCTATAACATTGTCCTACAATCGCCAGCGGCTGAAGGGATGGTGTAAATCCAACTAGGGTCCATGCAGGTAGCAAACGCACTACAAGTCCCCATGGTCCCTAGTATGGTGATCTACCTTCAGTTGTTGGCGATCTATAGCCCAATTTTACATTGTATTGTCCAGAAATAATTTTCTACTTTTAAAGATATAAGCTAGCTAGTTTTAACTCAATCTGTGATAATCTAGTGGTTTTACTGTCCTTCGTTGACAGGGTTTTATATATTATATGTATGTATTATAAATTTAGAACTAGTTTTAGTCACGATATGGCTGAAATATTGCCGATGTGACTTTAAATCTTAACTCACTCACTCACTGCTATAAAATTTGTGTGAACGTCGTGAAGTTTGTTGGTTTGTTGTTTCACGCCACACTCAACAATATTCCAGCTATATGGTCAATAATCTAGTCTGGGCCAGACATTCCAGTGATCCACATCATGAGCTTCGATCTACGCAATTGGGATGCGATGACATGTGTCAACCAAGTCAGCGAGCCTGATCACCCGATCCCAAGTCGCCTCGTACGACACGCATGGGTTACTGAAGATCAATTCTAACCCGGATCTTCACGGGTTAAGCTTGTGAAGACAAATATTACAAACTGTAGCGGGTTACAGTAAACTAGGGTTTTAACGAACTAAAGGGATGACTATTGTTTGTTCGTTATATCCATAGTTCGTTATACACATTTCGAACTTAGATACCCAGCAAGCGGCCGAGAAAACCCACAAACTACAGATATCTGTCAGCTCATTATAGGAGTGTTATAGGAGCGTTATAGGAGCTTTATAGGAGTGTTTACAAATGTAATTTAATGTATACAATCACACATAACAACGCTGTTTGAGAGAAAAGTGAAAGTTGTATAAAACCGGTTTTATTGCCTGAAATATCGTGTCACTGAACATAGGTGTTAACTGCGTTCCACAATAACACGGAGGAGTTTAACAGAAGACGGGGCCACACCACTGTTTGATGTGTGCGTCAGAGCGTCGAGTATGCGTGTCACGTGATCAATGTCTCAGATGCACGTCCCGTCCCACCGTTAGTCACAACAAATTCATTAAAAAATAATTATTTGTAAGATTCTATGAGGAAATACCTAAAACTAATAGAAATTTGACATATTTGAATTAAATTATTTGTTCATGGTATGTTGTATATTTTTCATTTCCTTATTCTATTTTTTTTATTCTAAATTTTCTTTCTAATTATTTCATTTGTAATCAGTCATTTAATTTGTCAGATATGTCAGAGTCAAAATCGCAACACTGAATTAATGAATGTTTGACATATTTGAATTCATTCTTCTTTTTGTGCATGGTATGGTGTATATTTTTCATTTCCTTATTCTTTTTTCCCCTTCTAAATATTTCCTTTGACTCAGTCGTTCAATTGCGTCATACATTTGAAATCATTTTTAAAATGTGTCAGATATTTTGAATATTTGTTACCATTACGTGTCAAAATCGGAACACTGTAATGAATATAAGTTAAACCCAGTTTCAAAGTTCGTTCCCCGCCTGCACGGCGTTTATACAAAACAACGACGTAGATAGCAAGCACAGGGCGGATGGGGAAAGCTGAACTTAGAGTCACGTGCGTGACTCAGTGTGACATCACACAGAGCAGGAGATCCGGGGGACGGATGGCTACCACGTCACGCAGTGTGCCATCAGGCGAGAGTATCACAATAATGACAATAGAACTGTACCTCTCGGAGGGTGAGTGAGTATGGTTTTACGCCGCTCTTCGCAATATTCAACAATATCAAGGCGGGGGACACCAGAAACGGACTTCACACATTGTACCCACGTGGGGAATCGAACCCGAGTCTTCGGCGTGCCGAGCGAACGCTTTAACCACTAGGCTACCCCACCGCCCCTCTCGGAAGGAATAGCAATGATTTAGCACTATTTTACCATTTTCATGACCGGGAACACAAGGAATGGGCTTTACATAATTATATTATAGTACTCACGTTGGGAACAGAACCCGAGATTTCCAGGATATGTGCTTAATCGGATTTGAAGGAGCCCCGTATATTATATACACACACACACGCCCGCTCACTCAGCACTTCATGAATAATACAAACAATCCTACATTCGGAAGGCATTCGTCTTTCATGTATTCTCCCATTGTACCCATGTGCTACATTGTACCCACATAGTATGCCAGTACTTTGACCGCCTCCGTGGTGTAGTGGTTAGAGCGTCCGCCCGGAGAGCGGAAGGTCGCGGGTTCGATCCCCGACCGCGTCATACCAAAAGACGTTAAAATATGGTACTTGTTGGTCCCTGCCTGGCGCTCGGTATTAATGGGTACAACAAGGACTGGTCGGCTCGGAGTCAGTATAATGTGTCTGAGTGGGGTATTCATGCTTCACTGTGGCGTGGTATCTCAG